AAAAGTGGTTATTCTGTGTTAGCCAAGACTAAAACAAATGCATTCCTCAGGTCCAGAAACTGTCAGTCAGTGTAGTGACAGTGCCTTTCTGTGGGCTGTTTCTGGGAGAGACCAGCGGCAGTGTGGCTAGCGCGGTGGCAGTGCAGCGGTGGGCCTGCTCTGGCTCCTTCCGGGTGCGGTTGTGGACGCGGTTACAGACGTGGTTGTGGATTTGTGGCTCCCTCCACCTCCCATGGGCTCAGTAGTCCAGCTCCTACAGGCACTGCGTTTGTGCTTTGGCTCCGTTCCACTGGGAGTAAACCATGGACCCCACAAGCAAGCAAACAAAAAGCCCACAACCTGGAGTTGGGGGAAAAAAAATAGACAACTGGGTTCCAAGAGCTTTATTTTTTCTTTTAAGATTTCTTTAGAATTGAGTCGGTAGAGGGCAACATCTGCTCTCTTCATCCTTGAGCGCTGGAGAGGGGTTCTCCAAGGATGAATTCAGTCTTCCTTATTACACGTACTTTAAAGGCTCTACAGAGTTAGTTGTAGTGGGGCTTTTTATGTATTCTCCTTTTATTAAAAAGAAACACGTCGTGCTCAATGTTGAAACAGCGGTGAAAACCAGGACTTCTTCTCCATCAGTCCTGTGTGCTCTGTGGTTCCTCAGTCCAAACAACTGGTGAAACCAATGAGTTCTCATTTCCTATACTGGACCCAGTCCTTTATCACTTTTCTGTTTTTAAAGTTTGTTTATTGAGAGAGAGAGAGACAGAGAGAGAGAGAGAAAGAGACCCTTGACAGAGTCTTCACACTAATAACCCCACCCTGCAGCCAGCCAGGATTATGGATGCGCCAGACCTGAGAAGCAAACCCAGAGCCATCCCAGGTAGCCCTACTGTGTGCACCATTGCCCCTGGGCCTTGGTCCAGTCTTTAATTGCAGGAGTCCTACGAGTAAGGACCCACTGTGTCTTAGGACTGTGTATACTGCTCAGTGAGCTTGATCTTGGAGGGCTGGCCCTGGCTGGGGGCCTCAGTGTGGCCTGGTGTGGATGCCCCAGCCTGGTGTGCTGGCAGAGGAAGAAGCACATGCAAGGCCCTCTCCTGTCTGCAGTGCCCGGGCTCTCAGCTGGGTTTCTTTCAGGGTGTGACTGGTTACTCAGAGCCACCTCCCTGTAACACTGGGGCACTCACGGGGGCAAGCAGAGGTCAGGCTGCACCCCTGTTACAAGAAGCAAAGGGAACTGGACCTTGGGCTTGGCATCCTTCGTTCTGTCCTAACAGCTGGGCTAATGGGTCCCGAAGTGCTTCATACATAGAGTTGCTCAATATAATGAAGGTGCTTTCAGACTGAAGGGACATGCCACTTTCTTCTAATTTTTTAAATAAATAAATATATAAAATATGTAATATCTTTTTTTAAGCTCTGTGGTGTATGCTTGCCAGAGAGGCAGAGACAGAGGAAAGAGAGAGGGAAAGTGAGAAGGCACTCTGCAGGGGTGCTTTCTGAACAAGAGAAATCTTAAAAGAAAAAAATAAAGCTTTTGGACCTCACTTGTCTATTTTTCCCCAAACTCCAGGTTTTGGGGACTTTTTGTTTGCTTGCTCGTTCAGCCTGTGTTTTACTCCTAGTGGAAGGGAGCCAGAGCATAAACGCAGTGCCTGTAGGGCTGGACTGCTGAGCCCATGGGAGGTGGAGGGAGCCAGGAGCCTGTAACCTGGAGCAGCCAGAGCAGGCCGTGCCCTGCATTGCCACTGCACTGGACTGTACCGCCAACCCACTGCAAGGGACTGGCACTCCTTTCTCTTCTATTCTCCTCTTGGGATTTGAGGCGCATATGCTTGCAGGCCCGGTGTGATTTTCTAGCCACCATGTTGAGGGCTTGAATGTGCAGTTGACTATGTATGATCCAGTACCTTAACCACCACATTTTTATTTTGTAATTTCTTATTTATATTTAATTGTTGTACATCTTTGAGGGGTACAATATGGTTTTTTGAAGCATATATGCAGTATGACAATCCAATCAAGAATATTGCCATATTCAAGGTGCCTGTTTTCTGATAAACAGAACGTTCAGTCTAGTGATTATGGCGGCATTCCAGTTGTCTGTTAGGAATGTACTGATTTTAGGAGCACATCTGAAAGGAAGGACCACTTTTCTTTGGGTCCCTCAGAGCACTTCTTACTCATGGTAGCATGTAAGCACTCAGCTCTGGTCACTGTCTTCTGGCCTGAGGAATCTTTAGTCCAAGCAAGTTGGCATTTTTGTGAAAACTGAAGCTTGAACCTCCAATCCTTGTGTCAACTGCAAGTTTCTGCTTCTCATTGTTGCCAGGGAAACCGTTACCAGAAGTCTGATAACATGTTAACGTTCTCTCTCCTTCTCTCTCTCTCATCTCAGTATTGCTTAATGCAAACTCTGGAATGGTGCTAAGGTTTAAGAAAAAACCCTGCTACTTAATTTTTCTTTTTTTAGTTTCCTAAAGGAAAAACCTACGTTCTTTTCCTTCCTTCCTTCCTTCCTTCCTTCCTTCCTTCCTTCCTTCCTTCCTTCCTTTCCTCTTTTTTTAAAGAGATTTATATCATAGCGTGCGTGCACTCATTGGAGAGGTTTAGAGTCATAAACAGTGAGAGGGAGAGTGAGAAATCAACCCCCAGGGGGGTGGCTATCCTGCAGTCCCTTCTCCTCCATTCTCCTCCTGGGGCATGTGCACTCACACGCCCAGTGTGATTTTCATGCCACTGGGCCTGGGACTCGAACCATGGTCGGCCATGCGGTCATTCAGCGATTTAACCACTATGCTGTCTGCTGGCCCCTCCTGCTTTCTTTTCTGATCCCAGTTCACATACCAGTAAACTCAGATCAGTAAATATTAGGTTGTCGAAAAAGTCGTGACATATTTTTCTATGTAAAAATGTGTTGTGACTTTTCTAGCAACCCTATATATATTTTTTTTATGTAAGAAAGAAATTTGGATGGGGTTGGACAGTGGCATGGTAGGGAAACACAATACTCTGTGAGGCTGGCCCACATGGGGAGGTTCTGGGTTTGTATCTAGAGACCTCCCTAAATGTGCCTGGTAGGAGCTTGCCCACGATCTGACTAGAAGAAGCTGAAGATGGATACAGTGTCGAGACCCTGCTGGGGGTACTCTCTGTCTTTCTTACTCTCAGAAGAAATAAATGAATAAACTTTTTTAAAGAATCAAGAAAATTTAATGAAGCAACAAACAAATCAGCCTCATCAAATTCATAGAAATACTCCTTGCTCGCCTCCACTCCCTACCTCTTCAGGGCCTGAAATAGATGGTGCTCATGGCCTTGCTTGATTTTTTTTAAACATGGCCCTGAAGAGAACCGTCAGTATGGGGCTCCTCTGCCCACCCCACTGGCCTTGTGCAAATGAAGACTTCCCCCGCTTACGCAGACCAACGGGTCAAGGATATTAATTATGCACTGCTCTGCTTTTGGTGATGTTTGTGTGGATGGAGGAGGAAAGCAGGAGGGAATACATTTTAATCACTTCTGCTGCTTTGAAAGAATCTCCACAGATAATCTTCAGTTCTTTAGCAAAAAGCAGCCTCCTCGAGCCTCCGCATCTTGTCCCTGTCTGAAATGGAAACCAGCCTGCAGTGTGTAGAGCTTGCATGGTGTGCTCACTGTATAATTAAAAGAAATTCTGATACTGATGGACCTGGGCTGTCTGGTTGGCACAGTCACTGAGAAAATGGAGGCATTCAGTCTGGGTCAGGGCCCTGCTGGTCTCTGGGCTGATTGGATTGTCGCCTTGGGGCTTAGTTTCCAGAGCGGGGCCTTGTTTCTCCCCGAGTGCTGAACTGTGTTGTGTGGGAGCCCTGGAGAGCCTCACTGACAAACCTCACAAGAGCTGGCCTGGGCTAGGGTCTAAACTGATCCAGATAAAATCTTCAGGGAAGAAATTTTATTTTACCCCTTGCTCCAGAAATGTAAGGTGCAGTTAGTGTTTCCCCCAACTTATTTTAAGAGTTACCAACTTAGGGAACCAGCAGTTAGCGTAATGGCTATGTCGCTGGACTCCCATGTAGTCAACCGCGGTTTGTGTCCTGGACCCGGTGGCTTAAAACTCACGCTGGGAGCATGTGCGTGCGTGCCCAAGATCCTGAGAGGAGAATGGAGGAGAAGGGATTGCGACGTGACCATCCCCCCTGGGGGGTGATTTCTCACTTTCTGTCTCTATGACTCTCTTTGTCTGGCAAGTGCACGTGCCCTATAGTGAAAATTTCTCCACAAAAGAAAAAAAAAAAAAGAGTTACCAACTTATAAAAGAAAACTGGAGTATTCTTCTACTAAAAGGAAACTTTTCCATTCAATGTCTTTGCCTTAATTTTGCAGTTTCTGGGAGAAAATGTGTGTGCCTCCTTCTTCCTTATAGGTTGAGCATCCCTAACCCCAAATTCCCAAATCAAAATACTTCAAATTGGAAACCCTTTGAGTGCCCGTATGTCACCACAAGTGGAAAATTTCACACCTGATCTTATGTGATGGGATCATGGTCAAAAGGCCGCAATACAAAAATGTATAAAACTACCCTCAGGTTAAGTGTACGTGGTATATGTGAAACTTAAATGAATTTTGTATTTAGACTTGGGTTCCATTCTCAAGATGCCTCATTATGTGTAAGGAAATATACCAATATCCAAAAAATATCCAGAATCTGAAAGACTTCTGGCCCCAAGCATTTTAGATAAGGGATACTCAACCTGTCATATAGTCTGTAGAAGAAATGTAGTTCCATTTCTTTTTATTTGTGGAACAGAGCAAACTCTCAATGCATTTGGAGTTAAAATATTAGGTCGTTGGGAAAGTTATGATGTATTTTTCTATGTAGAAATGCACCACGACTTTCCCGACCACCCAATATATCATTTGTGTTAAAAGTGAGATGGGCCATTTGGTAAACATAATTTTAAAATATGCAGCCAACACCAATATATGATCAAAGTAATGAGTTAATTTTCATTTCTTGCTTGCAGATGTCCTGGAAGGTTATAATGGGACGATTTTTGCATATGGACAGACTTCATCAGGAAAAACTCACACCATGGAGGTAAGATTGCAACAGAAGATAAAGTCAGTCGCAAGATGACTGAATGGAACTGGGGCTTCTAGCAAATTGGATGGTGCACGTGTGTGTTTTTTTTTTTTTTTTTTAAATTACTGAGCAACAGAGATGCTTATGTTTGACCAATTGATTATGTCTTTAAAGAGTTTAAAATAACCACAAATAATAAAGTCTCAGGAGTTCAGTAGTTTAAAGAGATTCTTTGTGAGGCCAGCAGACGATGTGGAAGTTAAGGTGTCTGGATCCCACATGGCCAACTGCACCTTGTGAGTCCAAGATCCAGTGGCATGAAAAACATGTCGGGTACTTGTACCTGTGTACCTAAAATCCCAAGAGGAGAATGGAGGAGAAGGGACTAAGGCGTGGCCATGCCCCTGGGGGTTCTTTCTCACTTTTCCTCTGTCTTCCTCTCTCTGTCTCTAGCGAGAACACATGTTCTATAGCAAAAAATTTAAAAAGACAAAAAAAAGGAAACCTTTGTTGATAGTACTATCAAAATTATAATAACAAGTTCTACTGAAAAACAATCATTGATAAACTAAAGTATCTTTGTAACCTCCAGCCCCATCCTAACTTAGGAAGAGTCATTTACCCTGAGCAGGGCCTGTAGGGAGGTGAGTCATCTTAGAATGAACAAGAAAATGTCGGTCAGAGATTTTAAGAAATTGGTTTGAGGACCAAATTCAACCCACAAATATATTTTGTTTGACCTTACCAGTGTATATATATATATTTTTTTTAATTGCAGAAGTGTTTCAAATGGGTTGATTTCACGTAATTCTGATTTTTCCATCTTAGGTTGAACATTCTGAAGATCTTTCAAACCTAGGTGAATTTTACCATCATATAAAATGCAAACTTCACTGGAACATGGGCTTCACTGTCTTGCTCATCTTTTTATTAACATTTCTAGGGCATGGAGTAGCAGCTGTCACCTAGAAGAGGCTCGATACAACCTTTGCTAAAATGGTACCCTGGCCCTGGCCACTCCACGAGTGTGAGGCCGGGCTCTGTGGTGTGCCTCAGACCACACTACCTGCTCACCACGAGGAAATCTAACTTATGCGCAGCCTTCTTCATTAGCATATGTGCCCAGCCCTGGAAGCTTTGGAGGGTGTGGCCCATCTTAAAACCGTGGCCACGGTTGTCTTCCCAACAAAACGTGACTACAGACAAAATTGGCCCCTTTTACCTCCTCTTTTCCAGCTTTTTACTATGAACACCTTTAAGACCTTTAGGACCAGATAATTCTGCTAAAGGGTAGGCCCGCCTGGCTGGTGAGGTGGAGAGAGTAGTTATTACAAGCAACTGCACAGAGGAAGGTTGGGGAATTCAGTTTATAAGCAGCAGGGTAAGACGAATCCTTGATCCTTCAAGCCGAGGTGTTTTCATTTCTGATGCCCTCCTGGGAATGCACTGAGACAGTGGCGGCATCGGTTTAGCTTATGAATCATTCCTGTTGAGGAGAGTCGGAGGCACAAGGCTCAAGTCCTCAGGGCTCTGACGTCTGCTCCCACCCGTGTCAGGTGTCAGGGACGGCTGTGGAGGGCCTCACTCCCGTGGTGCTGACTCTCTTTCCCCTATTTTGCTGAACACAAAGTGGTTAAGAGATGCACAGATCAAAGGAAGCGCGAGGTTCATTGCTGCCTCTTCCTGCTACGCAGGACTGTTCCTGGACGTGAGCTCCATCGGCCCGTTTTCCGCACCTCCCACCTTACAACAGCGCGTCCTGGAAACACCGCCCCTGCTGTCCCCACGCTCCTGCCCCTCACTTTCTCATACTGGGCCCCAGACATGGACATTTTAGACTCTAGAAAAGTTAGAGGTACACATTTCTAGAGTCCCTCCCTACTCCAGTAGCTGGGGACAGAAAAATCTTGATGGGTCAGAAGGCGAGAGAAAGAGAGAGAGAGAGAGAGAGAGCATCTCGTGAAGGAATCAATTGGTTTATAGGGTTTTGCAAAATTACCAAGCTATATGCAATACAAAAACAAAATCAAAAAAATTCCCCCAAACCAAAAGCCAAGCAAACCAAAGAAAACTCCAGAACACGTCAGTATTTAAAATCCTCCAAGGTCACAGGGATGCCTACAAGAGTGACCTTTGAAGCTTTGGGATTCATTCATTTTTGGAAATCATCAGGTGTTTGCTAAATGTCAGAAATTTAAATTGTGAAGACATCAAGGGACTGGTCCCCAAAGTAACTCTGTTTAGTTTGGGGGAGAACAGTAGGGTGTGAGGTGGTGGCAAAAGGCCATGCCAGCCCTTTACAACCAACGGGAGACATTCTTTTAGACTAGAGGCTGTTGAGGCCTCTGCGTTCACCATGTAAGCTCTGTGATGCTCACCCTGAGAACGCTGGGCGTTGGGGGGGACAGGACCCAGGGGAAACCGGACTCTGCACAGGTCTCTCTTTCTGCCTAAATGCTGTTGTCACTTGGTCTTGTTAATTTTTATCATTATTATTCCTCATTTTTGCCAGAGGCATATACTTGCCTACGAGAGATAGAGAGCGAGACAAAGTGAGAAGGCAGCCCCCGTGGGGAAGAGTCACACTGTATTCCCCTCCTTATCTCTCCCTCCTTTCGGATTTTGGGTGTGCACATACACGTGTCCAGCACGTTGCTCAAGCGGCTGGGTCCGGAACTCCAACTGTGCAGTTGACCACGTGGGATCCAGCTGCCTTAGCAACCGGGCCACAGGCTGGCCCCATCTTGTCAGCTTTCAAAGGTTGATTATATCGACGAGCACGACCTGCTGCTGCTGCCGGAAGGAGCTGGTGTGGACGTGAGGCCTTTCCTAGTGCCACTCACTCCCTTGCTGCAGCGGGTTCTCTCTGTAGGTAATTGCAGACTGGAGAAAGGTGGGGGACATTTCAAGAGGGAAGCAGAGGGAGAGAGGAGCCCCAGTCTGCAGTCAGAGAGACTGTGGGAGACCAGGAAATCCAGGACCCTGGAATGCAATTAAATCAGAAAGCCTGCAGGGTCTGTGTCCTCTGAAAGGGGGATCTGATGTTTTCAGAATTACACATTGTGCTTTTAAAGGCTTTCGGAAGGGGATGTTAACTCCCTGAGTGAACAGAGCTGTCACATTTTAAAGCTGTTTTTCATTTTAATCTCCTCGTCTGTGGTCTGACATCCAGTGGTGATTCCATTACCTTCTATTGAGGGAACAAAGAGATAAGCCTACATAAAATTGGAAAGATTAGCTTCTCAAGATGGCGCATTTAGGTGGATTTTCAGAGAAAATGTGAATGAGTGCACGGTGTCGGTGCTTAGCTTGGTAGGCACCGACATGCACAGGGCCCAGGCTCGGGCTGCCCTTTCCCACAGGCTGGTACGGGAAAAGGTGCGGGGTGCTGGCTGCAGCCGGCGAGAGGGACTGTCCCTTTGCTCCACATGTGACGCCAAGAAGGGCTTCTCCTGATCCCATGTCTTACTTTGTGGTGCCCTTCAGCATGCCGATGTGGGTGGATAAGGACACTCTGTTTCCCTTTCTGCCCAAAGGGACACTGGGAGGTCATTTGAATGGTTCAGGCTTCTCGGCGGCTGAGCCCAGTCTGCCAAGTGCTTTCGAGCAAGCCTGCCTGCGCGCCTGGTGCTCGTGTGCTGACTGGCTACCTGCCTTCCCGTCTTCAGTGGAAGTTCTGGTCTGCTTGGGAGGTGGAGGAAGCAGCTGAGGCCGGAACAAAGGGAGTCTTGTTCCAAGGCCAACGGCCTAGGTCTCGTTTCCTCTTTCTTTTTACTTTCTAGCTTGCCGGAGAGTGAGATGGGGGCAGAGGGATAGTGGGAGGGGAGAGAAGAAGTGAGACATCAACCTCAAGGGGAGAATGCCACACTGCAATCCCTTCTTCCCTTCTCTTTTCGGGATTTTCAGCACATGCACACATGTTTTAAAGCTGCCCAGTCTGGGACTTGAACCACAGTTGGACATATGCAATCTAGGGGCCTTAACCACCATGCCATTGACTGGCCCAGTTTCTTCTTTTCATATATGCTCCTGGAAGGTCACACTTGGTGGGAGGAATTTTTGAAGAGAATTATAGAGAATAAAATGACAAAACTTCTTCCTGTTTTCTCTCTTCAGAAACCAAGATGACAAAGCAGGGCCTTTCTCTGCCTCTGGAGTTCACCCCTGACCCCCGACCGTGCTCTAGCTGGGCAGTGTCTTTTTCCATCCCCACGCTTTCATTTCTGCTGTCACTTTCTCTGCCCACGTTCTCACCCATCCTCCGGCCGGCTCTCCCATCTCTCATGGAGCGCCGCTGGGAGGGAGTCTGTCCTCTGACTTTCTTAGCTCTCAGCTTTTTATTGCCTGGGGTGGCTGCACTGTGCTCTGTGTGTGTCTCCCTCACGAGGCCAGCAGTGCAGAAGCAGCGAGGACCTTCAGAGAGCACAGCGTTCTGTCATAGTCACACACACAGCCCATGTAATCACACACATGCATACCCCGAACATCACACACACACACACACACAGCCCTCATGTGCGTACCCCTGAACATCACACACACACAGAGCCCACATGTGCGTACCTCTGAGCATCACACGCACACACACACAGCCCATGTAATCACACACATGCATACCCCGAACATCACACACGCGCGCACACACACACACACACAGCCCTCATGTGCGTACCCCTGAACATCACACACACACAGAGCCCACATGTGCGTACCTCTGAGCATCACACGCACACACACACAGCCCATGTAATCACACACATGCATACCCCGAACATCACACACGCGCGCACACACACACACACACAGCCCTCATGTGCGTACCCCTGAACATCACACACACACAGAGCCCACATGTGCGTACCTCTGAGCATCACACGCACACACACACACAGCCCATGTAATCACACACATGCATACCCCGAACATCTCACACACACACACACACACAGCCCTCATGTGCGTACCCCTGAACATCACACACACACACAGCCCACATGTGCATACCCCTGAGCATCACACACACACAAAAACAGCCCACATGTGCGTACCCCTGAGCCACACACACACACACACACACACACACACAGCCCACATGTGCATACCTCTGAACATCACACACACACACACACAGCCCACATGTGCATACCCCTGAACATGACACACACACACACACACAGCCCACATGTTCGTACCTCTGAACATCACACACACACACAGCCCACATGTGCATACCCCTGAACATGACACACACACACACACACAGCCCACATGTTCGTACCTCTGAACATCACACACACACACAGCCCACATGTGCATACCTCTGAACATCACACACACACACACACACACAGAGCCCACATGTGCATACCCCTGAACATGACACACACACACAGCCCACATGTTCGTACCTCTGAACATCACACACACACACACACACACAGAGCCCACATGTGCATACCCCTGAACATGACACACACACACAGCCCACATGTTCGTACCTCTGAACATCACACACACACACACACACACAGAGCCCACATGTGCATACCCCTGAACATGACACACACACACAGCCCACATGTTCGTACCTCTGAACATCACACACACACACACACACACAGAGCCCACATGTGCATACCCCTGAACATCACACACACACAACACCACACACACAGCCCACATGTGTGTACCCCTGAACATCACACACACACACACACACACACACACACAGAACCCACATGTGCATACCCCTGAATATCACACACACACACACACCATACACACATAGTCCACATGTGCATACTCCTGAATATCACACACACACACCCCTCACACACACAGACATACCACACATAGAGACACATGCCACATAAATAAGTGTATACACTGACATGCCCCACATATATCACATGGCTACAGATTTCACACACAGACACTACACATGCACACAAATCATACACACACAGCCCACATACATTATATGCATACATAGCCCTGAACATCACACACACACCTCACACCCCTCTCACACATGCAGACATACCATACACAGAGAGATGTACCACATACACACATACCACAGAGACACAAGGTTACACACAGACCTACCCTACATACATCACATAGACAGATACCACACACACAGACACCTCACATGCACACCAGCTCACCACACTCACACTCCCCACATACATCACAGACACCACACATACATACCATATATACATACCTGTCCTATGTAACACCAGACATGTACACCACATATGCAAAACATGCAGTACCACATGCACACACAGACATACACCATAAACACTTTCCCATACTCCCACAACTCTTCACACTCATACCACAGTGCAAGTACCAAGTACTTGCACTTGCACACACACATACACCTACATAACATCACATGCAACTCCACGCACACAAGTACCCTACCCACCCCTCTCCCCTGCTCTTTCTCACACACACCCTCACACCCCACATCATCACACATGTAGACATATAGCACATATACCATAGTATACATCACACACATATCACATACATACACATACACCCTACATACCCCTTCGCTCTTCCATTCACATATACATACACCCTCCCCTGTACCTCCCCTCATCCCTCACGTACACACATGCACACGCACACATGCACACGCACAGTCATAGATGGCTTTGGCAGGTTCGGTTTACTGGGTACAAAGGCCATTCCTCAGCATCTGAGCTGGGTCAGGCACCACCTCCAACCCTGTGGCAGATTTGGGTATGGCTCTGACAGGTGAGGGGGGGCTCATAGGACGCTCACTTCCCTCCCGTGTGATTTTAGGGTGAGGTTAGGGAGCCCACGTGGGCAGTCGCAGACTCATCCTGACAAAGGCACGCAAAGGGACATGGGAGCTGTGTAAGCAGCAGTCACTCGGGAGCACGGTCTATCGAAAGGGAAAGCATCCAGGGGCACTTCTGAATCAATTATAAGTGATTTTTTGGATTATTAATCACTCTTCTCTGGCTATGGACCACTGCGGAGAAGCAAAGGGATTGTTGGGAGTTGGTAGAGTGCCCCGGTTGTGGGGGGGCAGGCAGGTGTTGATTGGTTGAATGGAGTCGTGACATTTGGATGCAGATCTGTTTTCACCGTAGGCGTCCCTTCTGCCCACAGTCCAGAGCATGTGGGGTCCATCATCTGACATGTTACATGCGTAGGATGGCCAATGTGATTTTAAAGTTACCAAAACTTGAGTTGCTCAGTCTTTGTTATTTGGTGCTATTTTCTTGGGATATATACAAGGTGTTTTGTGAGATGATTTCATCTTCTCCGAAGGGTAGGTTGAACTGAGATACAGGAACTGGGAAAAAGAAGAGAGGTACTGATGTCACGTTTATTGGCTGCATTTAGGGGGAACTCATGGAGCTCTTGTAGACTCTCAGAGTCTTCCTCCCTCTTGGAGTTCACAGTGTGTGGAGCTGAGCTGAGCCAAGGCCGGGCCAAGCCAAGGCCAGCAGGGCTGAGCTAGCAAAACCAAGGCCGAGCCGAGTGGGGCTAGCCAACCAGGTGCTCCCTTTCTCTTAAAGGGACTGCAGACAATAGTGGCACATTGCCAAGACAAACTGCCATACATGCACATGTGCGTTACATGCAATGGTGTAAAACAGCAAAATCGTAATTACATAACAAGTGTGCAAGCACACTACAGCTAATAACATAAACTGTTTACCCTGTGACTTTCAAACGTGGTAAGATAGGAAGTGAGGGAGTCACACTCAACCATCTTGACTTGGGAAATGAATTTCAATATTTTTTTGGCACTAAAATTAATTTTTACTTATTTTTTCCATGAACTTTTTGACATCTCTTCATATCAGTGGTCTGGCATAGAAAATTGTTTTCAGACTCTTCAGGTCAAATTAACCCCAACAACTGCTTACTGAGAACCTGCTATGAACTGAATGAATAATGATGGCATTTATTGAGCTACTCATGTGCCCCTAAGATCTTTATATTTAACTTAAAGTCTACATGATTCTGTGCAATAAATACTGTACTGAGTCTCATAAGCACTGGAGGGAAGTGCAGAGGCCCTGGCCCTCCCAACCTTCAGGGAGTACACACTCACAGTATGAAGCCATCAAAGATTTGGGATTCCTCAAGGATATGGGCATTTCAGAAAGGAAGGATCCATTTTCCAAGGTAGGGGAGATTTGCCAGAGGCCAGACCTATCTGAATTCAGCTTTTCTTTTACTTTTAATGGGGGTAAGTCAAAAATCAGGTCTGCAAAAGAGGACTTGTAATGCTAGGTGCTTTGTGGCCTGTGTTTAGTACAGGGGTTCATGTGAGTTCTTGCTTTTGCTAACTCAAATGTTGGCTGGAAAGTCCCTTTCAGAGAGGAATTATGTGGTGAAACCCTGAAAAATAAAAGAGAAAATAAGTGAGGAAAATAAAGCTCATCTCCCGGGTTCTGGGCAGAATGGGAACTAGGATTAGGAGTCAACAATGGTAGAAAGTGCAGAGCATTCCTGAAGAGGAGAGAGCAAACTGGGTTTTGTGCTTCCCTTCTAGCCCCACTCGTTCCTGGAGTTTCATAATTCTTTAAAGGTTTGACACATTCTCCCACAAACTGCCTTTGTGTACAGATGGGCTGCTTAACACATATACGGACATTTACGTGCTCCTTGGACTGTGGGCTTAAAAGAAGGCTGTCTGGAAGTTGTGCACCTTGGGCCATGCAGAGGCCAAATTTCTGTCATATCCTACGTCATCTCTTATTGAAAGTCCTCACAGGTGGCAAATTCTGGACCTTAGAAATGGATTCAGTGGGCCAGTAGGTGGCGTAGTGGTTAAAGGGCTCAATCCCACATGGCCAACTTCGTAACTTGAGTCCTGAACCTGCTGGCTTGAAAGACATGCCAGGTGCATGTGTATGTGTGCTCAAAATTCCGAGAGGAAAAAGGAGGAGATGGGACTGTGGTGTGGCCATCCCTCTCTCACCGTCTGTCTCTATCCAGGTAGCACATGTGCCCTTTGGCAAAAATGTTAAAAACAAAACAAAAAAAAGATTTAGTAATAGTTTAAGTAACATAAAAATTCATCTACTCCCCATCCTTTGAACAAAGGAGAAAAAGAGGAGTAGGAAAAGGTTTTTTTGTTTTGTTTTGTTTTGTTTTGTTTCGTTTTTGTCATAGGATGTGTGCACTCTCTGGAGAGAAACCGAGAGAGGAGAGAGAAAGTGAGAAATCACTCCTTTGGGGGAATGGTCATGCCACAATCCCTTCTCCATTATCTTCTTGGGATACTAGGCATGTGTGCACATGGGCCCATTGTCAGTTTCAAGCCACTGGGTCCAGGACTTGAACCCCCGTCAACTATGTGGGAGTCCAGCACCTTAACCACTGTGTCTGTCACCTGCTGGCTCCAAGTAGGAAAATATCTTAAAGTTGGATTTTAGTATTAGAAACAGCCCAAATTGTTTGAAAACAATTCAGACTGGGAATTACAGATTTTAAAAAAAAATTGGTAAAACTGATTTTCTTGATTGGTCTATAAAATGATATTGAAGGTGTTTGTAGAATAAGTTTGAGAATTTTTGAGCAATGATGACATTAATGAAATTATATCTATTTGTCCTTAAGGCGATTTCATTCAGGATATGAACTACTTCTATTTTTGTAAAATATTCAAAAACGAAAGCCTTATATCCCCCACTCACACACTACACACGCGTGTGTATACATTCACACATAGACTTGCTGCCCAAATTGGCTGCAGGAGGGGATGTAGGGCCTAGCAACCTGATGACACAAGCACTCACCTGCCTGCTGGGTACAAAGACCTGCATGTTGAGTTGTTGTACCAGGTTTGGTCTGTCGGCACGTCAGGTGGATCCCAAAGAAGCTGGCAGTCGCGTGTGGGTACTCCCTGTCACACACAGCTGTGTTGAAGAAACCCAGGATGGCCCCTACTCACTCTCCTGTTCTCCAGCACTCTTTAACTCCCAGTGTGTACCTTTCGCTCCCTAGGGGAAGCTGCATGACCCTCAGCTCATGGGCATCATCCCAAGGATCGCACATGACATCTTCGACCATATCTACTCTATGGACGAGAACCTGGAGTTTCACATCAAGGTCGGTGCTGTAGTCGAATCCCGAGGGAAGACACTGGGCCCCAAGTCATGTTTCTCATCTTTCCTCCTTTTGTGGAGATGTGAAAGTTGATCTTCCTCAATTTAAATGACATTCCTGTGACAAATAGGCTGATACTTAGCCATCTGGAGGGTTTGCTTGATATAGCAGGATAATGAAAGTAATAGATCTCTCAAGGGTGGAATCATGTTGATAGTGGCCCGAACGCCACCCTCTGCCCTGTGGATTTCTGTAGGTATGACTGGAATGTCTGCGTTTGGGTTAGGACAGCATTTCCCAAAGTGTGTGCCATGAAACAGTCCCTCAGGCTGTAGCTAGGCGAGTTATTGGGACAAAGTGTTATGTGGCCACTTAGGCTGGGAGAGTGCTTGCTTTGTCCGACAGCGTGCGACCGGCCTGTCACAAGTTCACATGTGCTCTAGCGGACGGTGACTCTGCAAAGGGGACATGTGCAATACAAGCACTTCCTAGCTGGCTTCACTGCAGATATTCTTCTCCTGTTGGAATATGGCAGACTGATGTTTTAAGGAGCACACTCAGATGTCTTGGGGAAGAGAATTCTCCTTCTCTTTTTTTTCCTCCTCTTTGTTTTTTGTTTGTGTTTTAAAGAACTGCTGATGTGGCTTAATTTGAATTTAAATAGACCGATACCTGTTACATCATAAAATTTGTTATTAGGAGCATATTCATTGAAACTCCTTTGCTTGCAAGGGACTGGAAATCACTTGTTTAAGCAAATAGAGAAGCTGTTGTAACATACAAAATCTAAAAGCAGGCATTGGGGAAGAGGCAGGATGTGGGGAGCAGGAAATCCAGTCCCTGCTTTTCTCTCTCTCTCCCTTCCTCTTTCTTTTAATCATCTTTTATAACGGTTGAGATATAATCACCTACCCTAAAATTCATCCCTTTAAAGTGGACAATTTGGTGGTTTTTAGTGTATGCCCCTAATTGTACAATCAAAAACTATCTGATTTCCGGATATCTTAGTTACCCCTTCCCCACCAGGAAATTCCACACCCATTTGAGTTCCTGCTTTCCACTCCCCTCTTGCTTTACTCATTCTTTTTTTTTTTTAACTTTTCTTCTTCTTTCTTTTTTTGGTACCATGGCAACTGCTCCATAGTCCTTACATTCTTTTTTAAGAATTTTTATTTATTTAATTCAATTTGTTATTATTATTATTTTTTAATTTGACCAGAGGGAGACAGAGAGAGAGAGAAAGGGAAAGCGAGAAAGCAAACCGCCAGGTCCCGGACTCGAACCACAGTCGGCCATCTGGGAGTCCAGCACCTTAACTACCATACCACATGCTGGCCCCAATAGTCCTTATTTCTAATTCCAAATTCCCTTGGGAATTGGTCCAGCTATATCTACCCTCCCTCCCTCTCCCCTTCTTGCCCTTACTGGTGTGTCCAGGATGCCTGTGTTTTCTGGGTTTCACCGTTCTAACTGGGGAAGGGGTTAACAGGATGGGGAGGAGAAAGAAGACTCAGAGCTGAGCAGATGGGCCAAGCAATTTCCCTTAAGGCTGGACCCTTAGTGCACCAGGCCCATCAGTTCAGAGATGAGGAGACTGAAGGTCAAAGTCACAGAGTTAGATAGCCGGAAGTTAACACCATGTTATTAGCAGAGCTTAAGAATAGACCCTAGATCTGACCAACCACGCACCCAGGTCCCTCTTCATTGTATTAAATTTCTTCTCTCACTTATTTCTGCTATATACTTGACTAAACTACATAAAAATAAGGCTACAACTGTTTGCCTGATTATGAATTACATCTAGAAAATCACTTTTCCTTATAGCGCCCTTGGTTGGTGAAAGCCCACTTCTCCTACTCACCAGGGTTCTTTATATCTAAGGATACAGAAGTATGTTGCTTTGATGGGATCAAGATTTAGAAGCTTAGTGCTTCTTTAAGGCTGTTTGCATTTAAATACTTTAAACTACTGCAGGGTTCTTATGCGATAATCCTGGAATAAGATGTTAAACCAATTACTGTCCTCAAAATAGGGTCTTGTGTTAGAATCTTATTAAGATAAAAACAGCCATAGCATGAAGTGGAGGGGACGAAGGGGAACAACACTGCAAGTCTCTAGGGCTGAACTTTACAGTCCAGATTCCTGTTTTGCATTTGTAGTTACGCTTACTAGATACTCATTTCAAGTATGCGAGTTAGCTGCTGACCACTGTATGTGTATATGTTTATATACACACATATATTTATATATATTTAAGTTCATTTGCTTCTTCTGTAAGAGAGAGAACAGCAGGCACTCCAGCAGGGTCGCCACGCCTTGACCCATCCATAGCATCAGCCAACTCAGATCACAGGGCGTGTGTGCATGTCTGGTGTCATGGCAGGCTAAATCAGCAAAGAGAGGGCTGATAAAGGCAGTATTGACAATCTGCTCCTTAAAACATCCATAGAGGTCTTAAACGTTATTTCTGCACATGGTGTTTATTAATGCATATAATGCCATTTAGTTTTCTTCTTCCTGCACTTAAAGTAGTTGAAATGACAAAATAACAAAATCACCACACACCACCCCCTGTACCACACTACCACCACCAAAAGCAGAAATTAATCATCAGAATTCTGATTCTCCTTAAATGTGAATAGGATTCTAATCACCAGATTTGCCGATATCTAGTTCATAACTCCTTTTGAAAAAATTTTGCTAGAGGAGGGGCCAGCAGATGGTGTGGAGGTTAAGAGTACTGGATTCCCATATGACTGACTAGTTTGATTCCTGGACCTGGTGGCGTGATTTCTCCCTTTCCCTTTCTTTCTCTCTCTGGCCAAATTAATAATAATGATAATAATAACAACAAATGGAATTAAACAAATAACCATTTAAAAATGTTTTTGTTAGAGGATATGTGCACTTGCCAGAGAGTCAGAGAGAGAGACAGAGAGAGAGAGAGAGAGAGAGAGAGAGAGCACTCCCCATGGAGCGTGGTCCTTTTTCCTCCATCCCTCCTTCCTTTTGGAATGTGTCCAGAAACACACTCACACAGGCACCCGGTGTGTTTCTCAAGGAACCGCGTCAGGGAAAACTGTGTGGTCAACCCTGTGGGATCCCGATGCCTTAACCACCATGCTACCTGCCAGCCCTCATGACTCTTTTTTAGATGTAATTAATGATCTCTGTAATCTGTGGAAATAAAGACTCAAGTTTAAGATCAGAAAGACAGTCTTAGGAAGAGCAGATGATTTTGAAATAAGTAGAAAGGGTTGGGTCCCGGGTTGACTTGACTGCGGGACGGCTAGGTTAGCCATGTCTGAGGGTGCAGACCAAACCGACCTGCAGGGTGTGGTCAGCCAGCAGTGTGGCAGCATGGGCGGTTATAGAGAGCTGCTGGCAGTGATGCTGTCGAATGTCACAAGCTATGTCCATAAGAGACAGGGAGGGGTTCAGCGACAGGGGTTGGAGAGGTATTTAAGTAGACATAGTTAAGGATAAAACCACAAGGATACCCAGCTGTACATGCCAGGATTCAGTGCCTGCACCCTAAATCTCAGAGCGTCTGTGAAATCAGATAGTTCCAGGAGGAAGCACACAAAAGGTAAATGAATTTGGGCCGAGCTGGGGTTGGGGACTAGTGTTGGGTTAGAGGGCCTTTATGCCCTCCAAATTACAGAGGGCATTGGTACAGAACTGGGGTGTGGGGGTGAGGATTCCTTTGTGTAGTCACATCTCAGTTTTATACTTTACAACAGTTTTCCTCTTTATCCATGCCCTTGCTTGGATTTCAAAAATACTTAGGAACGTGGGATAGAGAAAAGTTTATCTGGGAAACAAGGCAGATATAAACAGTGCAGAATTGTAAAGGGAATTTTCAACATTAGGAAGTCCAATGGCTTCATATTACAGATGGGGAAGCTGAGGCTTATGATCTAGGCCATGTGCGAATTAAAGCTGTAAGACCACGTATTTCGTTAACGCAGTTCTCAGACATCAGTCCACCCAAGAATCACCTGGAACTTCGAAGCAGACGCCAAGGTCCTATTCCCTGAGATTCTGGTTTACTAGGATGGCAGTAGGTTTCAGGGTTCTGCCATCTAAATAAATTCTGTCGGTGGGACTGAAGAAGGTGTTATTGGAGCTGAGGCTTGAATTTCATGCATTGGAAGGCTTCCTTTTCCTCTCATAGTCTAAATGTCTTTTATTAAATCACAATTTGCCCACTTTCTCCCAAGACACCCCAGCCTGGTCACCATTGCCAGCTCTCTCCCAGCTGCTTTTCTGAGCTCTTGAAGGTCCTAGTACCCTGTCCCCTCTCTGCTTCAGCCATGCGAATGCTGAGACGTGCTCCCCCACTGCCCTCCCCCGTCTCATGAGGCTGTCAGTCCTGCCATGTGAGGCCTACTGAGTTTTGAAGAAGTTGCAGAGGATGTTTCATAGAAGTTTGCTTGGTGCTTGTCTGCGGTAAAACTTAGCATCTTCTTGTAAGTGACTGAATGGCCGAATAGCACGTGATGTCAATAACACCTGATGGAGACTCTAGGGAGCTGTGGTGTGGAGGTGGGGAGTGGTCCACACTTTGCAGGGGTGTGTAGAGTGTGCCAAGAGGGCAATAAGCAAGAGGAATGCAGTGAAGTCAGCTAGAGCTCCGGATGCAAGGAGCGAACCTTCAGTCTGCACCTCCTCCTCTTAGTCTTAACCAGACATGACAGGAGCTTCCCTAAGTTCTAGGGATGATATTTTGGGAATAAAGTGTGGCATTTCCATTCTAAGCTCAATTTGTTTTTAACCAGGTTTCCTATTTTGAGATCTACTTGGACAAAATAAGGGACTTACTCGATGGTGAGTAACCTGAAGGCTTGTCCTGAATTTGTTCTGTAACTAAAGTCCGAGGAGGCAGAAATGATATGCAACACCCCTGCAGAAGGAATTAATGAAAATCTAGGGAGATATTCTATTGCCTGTAGGCCTTTACTCACTCTTAGACAAGGCTTAAACTTGCATATTGCAAGGAAATTAAATTTGCTTACCTTCTGTAACAATTATTATTTTTCCTCTAGTATAGGGTCTTTAACCTTTCTTTTTTCTTTTCTTTTTTTTTTTTTTTGTATGTCATTATCATGTCTGTCTGCAGTATCCAAGACCAACTTGGCTGTTCATGAAGATAAAAACAGAGTCCCATATGTAAAGGTATGAGAAAGACCTGATTGGTAATGCAATTGATTTCTCTCAGATCTCTATCACAGAAATTACTATATAAATTACTATAGTTTTATCTATAAAAGACATGTAAATTTTGTTTTTCTATTTTTGGAGAGCTTTTTGCTATAGGATACATACACTCACCAGAAAGACAGAGACAGAGAGACAGAAAGCAAGAAATCACCCCCCAGGGGGGGATGGCCACTTCACAATCCCTTCTCCTCCATTGTCCTCTCAGGATCTTGGGGTACACACGCACACATGTCCGGCATGAGTTTAAGCCACTGAGTGTGGGACTTGAACTGTGGTGGACTATATGGGAGTTCAGCGACATAGCCATTATGCTAACTACTGGTCCCTTAAGAGAGATTTTTGCTGGGCCAGAACTGCCATCTTCCAGTAATTAACCAAAATGACGAACACAAAGGGGAAGAGGAGAGGCACCTGATATATGTTCTCTAGGCCTTTTTAGAAAGCATGAAGTTGTTCCTTTGGCAACATATATGCGAATCTACAAGAAAGGTGATATTGTAGACATTAAGGGAATAGGTACTGTTCAAAAAGGAATGTCCCACCAATGTTACCATGGCAAAACTGGTAGAGTCTATAATGTTACCCAGCATGCTGTTGGCACTGTCATTAACAAATAAGGGCAAGATTCTTGCCGAGAGAATTCATGTACATATTGAGCATATTAAGCATTCTAAGAGCAGAGATAGCTTCCTAAAACGTGTGAAGGAAAATGACCAGAAAAAGAAAGAAGCCAAAGAGAAAGGTACCTGGGTTCAACTAAAGCGCCAGCCTGCTCCACCCAGAGAAGCACACTCTGTGAGAACCAATGGAAAGGAGCCTGAGCTACTGGAACCTATTCCCTATGAATTCATGGCATGATGGGTGTTAAAAATAAACTAATCTGTGGTCTATAAAAAAAAAAAAAAGAGAGAGAGAGAGAGATTTTTGCTATAGAGGGCATGTGCTTTCCAGAGAGACAAAGAGAGACAGAGAGACAGAAAGTGAGCAGTCACCTCCCAGTAGGAATGGCCATGCCACAATCCCTTTGCCTTCATTCTCTTGGGATTTTGGGCATGCAAGCACACACACCCAGCATGAGTTCTAAGCCACCAGGTCCAAGACTTGAACTGTGGTCTACTATATGGAAGTCCAGCAATGTAACCATTACTCCATCTGCTGGTCCCAGGGTATGTAAAATTTTTTTAAGAATTATTTTATTTAACTTTATTTATTTATTTATTTATTTATTTATTTATTTTAATTTTACCAGAGGGAGACAGAGTGTGAGAGAGAGAGAGAAAGGGAAAGCAAGAAAGCAAAAAGAGAGAGAGAGAGAAAGTGAGAAAGCAAGCTGGCACTCGAACTGTGGTTGGCCACATGGGAGGGAGTTCAGTGCCCCTAACCACCACACCACCTGCTGACCCTGGCATGTACATTTTTAATTGTGCTCCTTATGTTTCATATCCATTTGGTTAGAAAAAAACTGTTTGGGACCAGTAGTTGGCTTAATGGCTATGTCACTGGACTCCCGTTTAGTCGACTGCAGTTCGAGTCCTGGACCCAGTGGCTTAAACTCATGCCGGACACGTGTGTGTGTGTGTGTGTGTGTGTGTGTGCCCAAGATCCTGAGAGGAGAATGGAGG